GAGACGTGATCCCTATAAAATCTCTATGGGAAGCTGAGAGATAGGAGGTCTCTTTTTCTGTATCTGCTTCCTGCTGGGCAGGGGCGTAGAGCTGTCCCTGCCTATTAGGGGATTTGCGGAACTCTTATCCTATCTGATCTCAGATGAGAGGAAGGGGTCTTGAGATCCGCCAGGAAGACTATGCCGGCCTCCCCTGCTGGGACTGGCTACATTGCAGGGGCACTACCCGTATTTCCAAGGCCCCCAACCACTGGCAGGCCCTGGTAGCCTCAATCTCCAAACCTTGAGAAGGACCTCCGACCACATCAAATTGAGAAAAGCAACAACAACAAGTAGCTTTAGTAGTTTAGCTTGAACAAGAGTCCAAGGTTTTTAACTGGCTCCCAGGAACATGAATGATAGTGTTTCTTTGGGGAAGTCCTGTGGAGACTTAAATGAAAAGATTAATTTAAGGAAAGTGGACCTAGTTACTGTCTCTGGAGCCTAACAGCTGTTGGTACAAAAAAATTATACAGGGTTTCTCCTATATAGGAACTAACTGGTCTGTTAGAGGCCTTTCCCTAGGCTTTTAATAGTATTTTACATTTTTTTTAAGATATAGACTAATGGTAAGGAACAGGCTGAGTAAAATAAGTCTAAATCCGGGGGCTCTCAGTATCTTTGTAACCGAGTAGTTTTAGAGAAAAAGAAAAAGTCCCAGACTGAGCAGTTGAGACAGAATAAATGGCTTTTATATTAATTAGAAAAATTAACAGGTTTACCTGCCACGTCAGGGTAACCTACAGTTTTACCCCTGTGATGAGAATAGCTTGGGAGCCGCTGGGAGCTTTAGGCCTGTAGTTCTTTATAGCCCCTTGTGGGGAAGGACTCGGTCCCTACTCCCTTCAGAGCAGGGGACAATCCCTCCTCCAGGGGACTTTAGTTTGTACAGAGGGCACGGCTGTTTAGTAAGATCAGGCTACTCCTCATCCCAGCGGTCTGGCCTTCTATATCCAAAGCTGGCTCCTCTACCCGGTGTTTCCTCCTCTGGGGCTTGCGGGTGCCCTGAGGTGGCTTTAGCCCTGGGTGATTATAACTGTGGCCAAAATCTGGCCTGGCTCTGGTCTTATCTTCCGCTCTGACTGTTCCTTTATTTTTATCCTAGCTGTCAAAGATATTTAAACAACTTCCTGGACCCTTTTTTTTAAGATCTGAGCCTCTTTACCAGAAGGTAACAGAGGGTCAGAACTATTAGAATATGCTGCTAGTTGTATTAGGCTAGGCTTTTTTATATTGGCCTATTTTTGATACCGAGGACGGTACACGAGCTCCAGTGGTTTCCAAAACACAGAAGTTTATATAGCTATTAGCAAAACTCAACTCCTAAATTTAATCCCTTGAGCAACCAAAGACCCGATTGAGACAATATAAAATACAGAAAATTATTCTGATGACATACAATCTTTACTTTTCAGGCAGAAAACCTTTTTTATAACATTAGTAGTAGACCAGTAATTTAACAAATTTTATCCTATCCAGCAAAAAGGGAAAACTGAATTAACCCTGTACTAGCTTACTTGTGATATCCAGACTCATTTAAACATATCTAGTTTAACCATACATAAAATTTCCCCCCAAAAAAAAAATTTTTTTTTTACATTCCTTCTACAACTTGTCTAGTTTCTTCCAACCTGTCCCATTTATTTTAGAAACAATCATCCTCAGGACAAACCACCCTCCCTCAGTTCCTTCAAAAGTGTGCCTCTACATCCTATACCTTTCTTGTATTTTTTTATATACCAAAATCTACAACCTTTAAGACCTTACTTTTTATTGATAACCAAAACTAAGTAACCAATATTTTTATTAGTAAATCTATAATACATTGGGCAACCTTTAGAAGTATAAGTTATGTCTTTTAGCTTTTCTGTGACAAGAAGCCAGAAATAGATGAACTCAGACCTATCTAATAATTAATATTTTAGTATTTTATCATGTTGAAATATCTACAAATTTAATAACTTTTATCATTTAACGTAACTTAGTAAAATTAAAATCTTAAGTTATCAACACATGCTGAGAAACTATATTTAAGTATCTATATTATATAATTACTATTGAAAAGTTTTATCTAAAACCTTATTTTTGACAAATTTGTGATAGATAACATAAACTTATCTCTGTAAACTTAGGCAAAACAAAAGGTACCATATTTAATGTTAATAATCTTAGAGATATATTTATGTGACTGAAAGTTAAACCGACCTTAGCATTAAATATTTTTTTAGAATACATGATCCTGAAGAAATTTTACCTTATTTTCCAGACTCTCTAACAGAACAATTTTATCTATAAAATGGTGCAACCCAATAAGTTATAGAGCGACCAGTGCCCTCCATAATTTAAACATACATTGGCCAAGCAGTACTGTAATAGAACATTACTTTCCTTTTGGTTAACAGCTTACAGTTATAGTTTTCCAATGGCCTAATATTTTGCCCAGTGGGCCCTAGTTGGGATTGAAACTAAAAGCTAATTTACATGACAAGACGGGGATCGGGGAAGAAACTAGGGGAGTTTATTAAGGAGACACTGAACAAATAGACAAAAGGACAACAAGAAACATGGTCCATGCAAGAGACTTATCCAGATACCAGGTTTACCAAACAGATTAAAAAGACAACAAAATACCATGTGACAGACATTCATTAAATATTAGGAGCCAGCTGAGTAGCTCAGTTGGTTAAGAGCTCGCTCAAGAGTGTGAGCTCTGAGCAACAGCAGTTCAATGCCCGGCCTGAGCTGAGCTGCCGCTGAGCTGCCAATAGGTGGCGGGATGGCTCAGCTATAAAAATAAATAAATAAATATTAGGTGCATCCCCTGTGCACTCCTTTACCAGAACCAAGGTGCAATAACACCTTGTACCAATTAACTTAGACCAGAACCAGTTCTGCTAAATAGATTGACAAAACTGTAGAAGACAGACAGGGCCCATCCAAGTACCAGGTTCACTCATGGGCAGCATAACAGGTTTACTTATAGGATTGTGAGGAACAAAACAGGTTCCCTTAATGGAACGTGAGGAACATATCAGGTCCCACTGCCTACGTCTCCGGAGGTGTCCCATCTCTCAGGGACAAGAATTAGACGACGAAAAGAAACATGAAACTGACAGTCCAGAGACCGATGACACAATTAAGAGGACAGCAGACACAAACGAGGCACCAAAGTAAAGCAGACAACCAAAAGGGCCGGGAGCCACGGAATACTCATCGCAGCTCGAACCCAAACCAAGGGGAGACTCTGCCATCTCAGGGTGTCCCTGGACTCAAGGGTATGAGCCGCGTCCGGCCCCTAAGAGTCCCTCAATGGTCGTGACCCCAAACCAAAAGAGATCATAGAGACCTCTTACCTTTCAAGGATTCCCAAATAAAGTCTCTGGAACAAGGGAGTCAGCTGCAGAGCCCGAGCTCCACTCCCGGGGATGCCGACCTAGTTGCCGGGGCCCTGGAATATCATCAGGGTGGCCAACCCCTGACAAAGGGTCTGCGATCACCGAGGGAGGAGACGAGCCGGCTGCGCTTATCTCGCTGGGGCCTACAAATGTTAGGTTCTTTCTTCTTAAAAATGACCTAAGAGACAGAGTTTTCGTTCCAAAGGCTCTATTAAGGCAAGCCTGGCGACCGCCTCACTCTGCAAGAGGAGAACGGCCCCGAGGTCTTGGCGGGTGGAAGTTTTATAGGGCTTGCTTTCCGGGGTATTGGGCAAAAAGCAGAAGCAAAGCAGGTGTACAGAAGCAAAAAGAGCTGTTAGTTATTGTGAAATGTTCCAAGCCAGTTGTGACAAAACGACTTCTGTAAAACAATTTTTTTTTTTTAAGATTTTTATTGGGGAATTGGAGGATGGGAACAGCGCTGGGGAATTGGGGAAGGGGAACAGACAAGTTGCTGTCCTTTTGTTCCTCAGTCTAGTTGTGGAGGACGTTGCTTCACTGGCCCAAGTTGGCACCATCATTGCGCTCTTCCCGGGTGAGGCAGATCAGTCGCCGGCTTCTGGACGGCCACTCACTGTGGCTGCTGGCCACTCACGCTGGCTGCTGGCTACACACGGTAGCCCATGGCAACCCACTGCCACAGGGGCTGCAGCCTACGCCGTCGCCGGCAACTCACAGCAGCCCAGCTCCAGGTTGAGCTGTTGTTCAGCATCTTAGCTGTGGAGGGCAGTGTCACTGGCCTTCATATGTGGGATCTGAACCGAGGCCCTCTGGCATCCCAAGCCAGTTCTTAACCATCACGCCACTCGGCCGGCCCTGTAAAACATTTTTAATATTTCTGTTGCAACCCATTTCTTGTAAAGCTAGGCGTTTACTGTCTAGTATTACCAACCCCTGGTGTCTTAACGGGAAGTTCTGCTTAGAGTTTAGCTGCAGTAGCTGAAGTATGATTTTTAAAAAGTGAGTCTGTCTGGCCTAGGGTCCGGGCCGAGGTCCTCACAACAGCCCACCCCAGAAGGTCCTGACACTGACCAGGCAATGACCCCCTCCCCACCCACCCCGTGTAGAGCAGGAATGAAGGGAGGATGGCTGTGCCTCTTCAGCAGACAATGGAGCTCAGGGTGGTCAGGGGGTCTGACAGTTACCCCCCCCCGCCCCCGGACATCCTTTTCCCTAAACACGCCTGTTGCTCCTGCTGTGGTAGGACCTCAGGAGCTGCCTGTTCCACATGAGATGGGACAGGGAGTCAGGGGGACTTCTTTGGGGGCAGGAGTTTCTGTCTCAGGATCCCCCTGGGTCCCTGCAGATACGGGGCCCGGCGGGGAGGACCTGGGAGTGGGCTGGAAAGCCAGGCGGCGTCAGAGATGAATTCTGCTGGGGTCCCTGTGTGGGGGTTCCCTGGTAACCAGCCCTCACTGCAGAGGGGAGAGCCGCAGGGCTATACAGGGAGCCCCAGGACGCAGGGGAATACAGGGCTATCCAACGTTGCCCCTGCTGGAAGCCATAGCTGAGACTGTCTCTCCCCAGGGAAGCAGCTGCCAGTCCTTACTAGCCGGCTTTGCTTCTCGCAGGAAGAGGAGATCGCTGTAGACCGACAACCCCGAGGTAGCCTGCCCCCCATCCAGCACGCCCAAGCAGGGGCAGGAACGGGGCCTCCAGCTGGCTGGCCTGGGCCCTTGGCAGAGGGGCAGGGAGTCCATGGCCAGGCTGGGTTCACAGCAGGCCCAGGCAGCAGTGGGTGGGGCCCTGCCCGGGACACCCAGAATCCTGTGGGAACAGAGGACAGTGGAAGGAATGCAGGTGGCACAAGTCACACTGTCCCCCAGGCTCGGGCGCTCCTGCTGGGCCTGGCAGGTGCTCATTTGCACAACCAGCTGGCGGGGGGTGTGCAGAGCCAGGCAGCACAGACAGGCTGCCTGGAGGAGCTGGCCCTTGGTGAGGTGAGAGCTGGCCGGGCAGACAGCAGGAGGGCACCATGGCCAGCTTCCGCCATGAGGGCCTAGGGCAGCTGCAGGGTCAGTGGAGGCAGATGGTGTAAAGGGGTGCCCGGGTCACTGCAGGTGTCAAGACAGAACGGGGTTCACCCACACTGAAGGCCTCAGGCCTGGGCCACCATGGGACAGCCCTCCAGACTGGCCCTCAGGGCCCCAGGCTGGATGGCCCACAGGGCCCGGGGGTGGTGTGGAGGCCAGGCCCCAACTGCCCCAGCCTGGGCCCCACCCCTGCCCTGACCCACCCACCTCACCTGTGCCACCCGCCTCTCCATGTGCTCACTCTGCTCCTTGTCTACAGCCGTCAAGGAGCCGGACGAGGACAATATCTGCACCACCCCTGGTTGTGTGATAGCAGGTAAGCCCCGCCCTCCGCACCTCCCGCAGCCCTGGCCAGGGGCTGAGGGCTCCCGTGATGCCACCACAGGCCCTGCCTGAGGCCAAGGGGCAATGGGGCCAGTGGGCTGGCCTTGGCCCTGCAGGCTGTCGGGGACTCTGCAGTGGGTGGACGAAGTGGGTACCACTCCTATGTGTCACACACACACACACACACACACACAGACGCCCCCAGGCCCCCCCCACCTGCTCAGGTCCCTGTCCTCACCCGACCCCAGGGTCTCTTCTGCATTTACAGAAAGAAAGGCCACAGAAATGAACATCCTCAATTAGTTTCCTCCCAGGAATTTGTCTTAAAATTGGGGGCCCTATGCTGCTACTTGCAGATTAAGAAAAAAAAAAACAGTGGAAATGGTGTGAGGAGACACTAGTGAAAAAAACTCAGAAATATGGTCTTTCTACCCACACTGGGGCTGTGGGTGCTTGTGGTGGGTTTCCTGTGAGGTCCCAGCCAAGTGGATCCGAAAGCAAGGGGGGCCTGGGTGGCAGCCCCCCACCTCCCCTGAGAGCACTCCGCCAGGAGCGGGCTCCCATATCCCTGAACGCTCCGGCTTCTGGGGCAAAGCCATGCCCTCTGACAGAAAGCACCCCCTTCTTGGTGGGTGAGAGCACCCCTCCCTCCATCCCGAGGACAGAGTCTGGGCAGAAGGCCCTAGCCGGGGGCTCCCAGAGCCCTTCCTGTGAGCCTGCAGTCTCGGCCCATCCCCTCGGCACTCTTGTCAGACTGCTTCCTCGATCTGCAGAGGAAGACGTGGAGGATCGGAGAGGTCATGGGGTTCAAGGTCATGTGGCTGACATATGGTAGCCCTGGAAGTTGAATCCCCTGCTTCTGAGCCCAAGGAGGTTCAGAGAGGGTGATTAACACTCTCAAGGGCACACAGCTACAATTGAATATCGGGCAGCCCACTGGGCGTCCACAACTGGGTTCCCCTTCTTCCTTGCCCACCCCGGGGATGAGCAGCCGCCAGGATCCTCCAGAACATGGACCTGTCCCAGGAACCATGTGACGACTTCTACCAGTACGCATGCGGAGGCTGGCTGTGGCGCCACGTGATCCCTGAGACCAACTCCCGGTACAGCGTCTTTGACATCCTGCGGGACAAGCTGGAGGTCATCCTCAAAGGTGAGCTGGCTGCCACCTGGGGGACGCACCCGGTGAGGCCATGCATCTGCCCCACAAGAGGGCGGCAGGGGGCCCATGAGGACAGCGTGCTGAGTCCTCTGTCCAGTATGCACAGGGGAGAGGGGAGCCCCTGGGATAAAAGCCCGGCCAGGACAGAGACCACCTCTCGCTGAGTATGGAGATCTTTGACCTGGACCCCAGCAGCCACCTAGGCCTCTGTCCAGCTTTCTCCTTGGCCCACAGGGGTGCTGGAGAATTCCACCAGCAAGGACCGGCCGGCCGTGCAGAAGGCGAAGACGCTGTACCGCTCCTGCATGAATGAGAGTGAGTGGGGGGGGGGTGTAGGAGAATGAGCATAGGAGAGTGGGGTGGGGGGGCACATGAACGAGACTGAGTGTTGGGGGGTGCATGAATGACAGTGAGCGTGGGGGGCCTGGAGCCTGGCCCCTGCAGCAGAGCATGGAGGAATGGGTGCCACTCAGACCAGAGGGCTGTGTGCTGTGCCCCCCATCTGGCCACTGGGTCCAGACCCCCCCATGGGGCATAGACTTACAGTCAACTGCCCATGCCCCCAGCACTGGCCACGCTGGTCAGGCAAGAGGAAGACAGTGAGAGGCCTGCCTGGGAGCCCCAGGAAAAGTGTGTGTATGTATATGTATGTGTGTGTATGTATGTGTATATACCATGTGTGTATATTTATGTGTTTGTGTGTGCATGTGTGTATATATGTGCATGTGTGTATGCATGCATGTGTGCATGCCTGCGTATGTGTATGTGTGTGTGTGTGAGTATATGTGTATGGATGAGGTGACAATAAAGTTCGTGAACTCGCCACCATGCGCTTACATTGGCAGTGCTGTACAAACAGCTCAGTAAGGATTCGTAACCTTGGTATATCAATGTCTCACAGCTGTGTTTGTGTCGACATGTGGTGGTGTCTTGCTGAGTGGCATTCATTATTGTTGTGTGTTTTTGTGTGCCGTCGTGAGAATGTCTGAGCTTGAATTAGAGCAATGAACAAATATTAAATTTCTTGTTAAACTTAGCAAAAGTGGAAGTGGAATCAGGGACATGTTAGCCCAAGTTTACGGGGATAATGCCATGAAGAAAATGGCAGTATACAAATGGATTAAACGTTTTTCTGAGGGGAGAGAACGCATCACTGATGAAGAGAGGTCAGGGTGGCCAGTAATGAGCAGAACTGATGAAAACATTGCAAAAATTTGTCAAATTGTGCATCAAAATCATCAGTTGACTGTGAGAAGTGAGCAGACCAAGTAAACATTGAAAGAGAAACAGGAAAATCTTAACTGAAAATCTTGGCATGAGAAAGGTGTGTGCAAAAATGGTCCCAAAGGAGCTCACCGATGAACAAAAGCAAAGGAGAATTGAAGTTTGCCAAGACCATTTGGAGAGGCAAGATGATGTTTTGGGCCGTGTTATCACTGGTGATGAAACATGGGTGTCCCAATGCGACCCTGAAACAAAGCGTCAAAGTGCACAATGGAGGTCTGCCAATTCTCCATGACCAAAAAAGTTCCGTCAGTCCAAATCAAGAGTCAAAATGATGTTGCTAACCTTTTTTGATATCAGAGGGATTATTCATTATGAATTTGTACCAACTGTACAAATAGTGAACCAAGTTAACAATTCATGGTTCTTGCATCACGACAATGCACCAGCTCACATGGCACTGTCTGTGAGAGAGTTTTTAGCCAGTAAATAAATAACTGTATTGGAACACCCTCCCTACTCACCTGATCTAGCCCCCAATGACTTCTTTCTTTATCCAAAGATAAAGGAAATAAAGAAAGGAAGACATTTTGATGACATTCAGGACATCAAGGGTAATACGACAACAGCTCTGATGGCCATTCAAAAAAAGAGTTCCAAAATTGCTTTGAAGTGTGGACTAGGCGCTGGCATCAGTGCATAGCTTCCCAAGGGGAGTACTTTGAAGGTGACCATAGTGATATTCAGCAAGGTGGCATGTAACACTTTTTCTAAGATGAGTTTGCGAACTTAATTGTCATACCATATATGTATATGAATGTGTGTATGTGTGTATCTGTATGAGTGTATGTGTGTATATATGTGTATATGTATACGTGTGTATCTGTGTATGAGTGTGTATGTATATAAATATGTGTGTTAAAGACAAAATGATTCCTGAAACTTGTTAAAGCTGGTGAGGCAGAGTTTACTCAGGGCCATCTCAGGAGGTGTGAGGACCACTGGGATGGGGTTTTGTCTTGGGGGAGAGACATGGGCTCAACTCCCAAGTACAGCCAAGTACAGGGGACATTAACGCCAAGGGCAGGTGGGTTCAGTGGGTGGGAATTTACTAAGAGGAACCATCAGGCGTGAGGAGGGATTCTGGCTAATCCAACTTAACAGGATTCTTGCTGAAGGCAAGCAGGTGGTCAGACGTCACTTGGAGGAGGACCCTGCCCAGATATGGAGGGTGGGAATTCTGGTTACACTGACTCAGCAGGGTTCTTGTTAAAACTGGGTTTTATAAGGAAGTGCACAGGCCTGAATAAAGTCTGGTCAAAAAAGGGTGTGTGTGTGTGTGTGTGTGTGTGTGTGTGTGTGTGTGTGTGTCGTGGGGAGGGTGTTGTGAGATTTCTCGGTGTTTTGGTTTCTATGAAGAGGACTCACACATTTGAGGCACCTCTGGCCTGTCTGCCCTTCAGTCCCTGCATGGGGGCTTGCAAACCCAGCCTGTGGGTCAGCTGCTCTGGTTCAGGCTGGCTGTTTTCCCAGGGGTCTCCTGGAGGGCGAGATTTGTTTGTCGTGTACTGACAGCGGGGCTCTTTGGGACCCCAGCTGTATGGGGGATGCCTCGATGAGCCCCCAGCTTGCACACACCCTGGCTTGTCTCCTCTCCTCCCCATGGAAACTGAAGGTCAGTTCGTCCAGTCTGGCGAGTACCCAGGGTACTTCTTATGCTCCCACCCTATGGAATTTCTGGCCTGCAAGACTGAATACACAAAAGAACAATGGCCAAACCGTATATAAATACACAACCCTGATCCAAGATCTCCACCGGGAAGCCAACCCATCATCTCTGGGATCCAGCCCAGGCAGCCAAACAGCCCTCCAACAATGGTCCCAAGATGGCAGCTTCCCTGAGTTCTGTCCCTACTTCCAATCCAGGACCAGCCAGAGGAGCCAAGGATGCCCACACCAATCATGTGGAACATCCGCTTCTAGTCACTGCCCCCAGCTCCCCAGGCCACGCCCCCGGTTCCCCCAGGCCACGCCCCAGCTCCCCAGGCCATGCCTCCAGCTCCCCAGGCCACGCCCCCAGCTTCCCAGGCCACGCCCCAGCTCCCCAGGCCATGCCTCCAGCTCCCCAGGCCATGCCCCAGCTCCCCAGGCCACGCCCCAGCTCCCGAGACCACCTTCCCATCAGGTCACTCCTACAGCCCCCTTCTTGCCCACCCCAGTGAAGTTCTCCCGGTGTTCTGAGCGCCCTGATGCCCCTGCTTTTCTCATTTGGGCATCATCCCTTGTTTCCACACTGCGTTGGCACCTTCGCTTAGTCTTCGAGTCAAGTTCTCCCAAGCTTCCTGCCAGGTCGCCCCTGCCCTGGAGGAGATGTTTTACACCCTGCCCAGCGTGTGCGCCGTGCTGGAGCTCCTACCGGGCTGGCCCTCGCCCCACTCCAGGCCACCAGTGTATTCCCGGGGCGGCTCTGAGCATCTCCCGCTCCTGGCCACGGGCCCCCTCAGGCTGGCTCGCCCACCGACCGACTCCGCCGCCCACAGCCCCAGGCCTGTCCTCCCCTCCTGCCCTCTTTGTCCTGGTGGTGCCACGCTTTCATCAGTCCCCAAGCCACCTTCACGCCTGGGTCCCGTCTCTGTTCTTTCCAGGCCCTCCCGCGCAGTCTGACGGTCGGGCTGTGGCTTGGCAGGCGACCTCCCTGCAGATCTGTGTGGGGGCGGGTGTCTGGGGGCGGGGTGACCATCCACTGCTCCTCCCCCAGGTGTGATAGAGAAACGGGACTCCGAGCCCCTGCTGCGCATCTTAGAGGAGGTGGGAGGCTGGCCGGTGGCCACGGACGAATGGAACGACACTGTAGGTAAGGCCAGAGCTGGGGGAGCCTTGCACAGACCGAGGGACCCTGAGCCTGTGGCTCCTTGGAGCCAAGGCCTTCCGAGCCCATGCTGGGGACTTTGCACCAATGGCAGGGGGGTGAGGGGGGTGGGGGGGCTACCTGCAACTAGTCCCCTCCAGCTCTGCAGAGGGATGTCCCTTCTAGACTCCTGGGAGGACTCGTCTTCCAGACACAGGCCCGGGACCCAGGGCTCCCAGTTCCGGGCATGGGCTCTGCTCTCTGCACTCTGGCCCAGGCCCAAGTTGGGGAGCCAGGCACGGGACGCACCCACAGCTGGCAGCCCCCAGCACACAGTGCTGCTCTCAGAGCCGTTGTCCCCTGTGGACTGTGGGGAGTCGCACCTCCATGTTCCCCTCTGCCCCCTGAGGTCTGGGCTTAGGAGGCCAGGACTCGCTGTTGGACAAGGGGCTGGGCTGGGACCCCAGGGGCCCGGCCGGTCTCCAGCATTGGGCACTGACTCCCCAGGCCCCACCTGGGCGCTGGAGGAGCAGCTGGCTGTGATGAACACACAGTTCAACAGGCGTGTCCTCGTCGACCTCTTCATCTGGAACGACGACCAGAACTCCAGCCGGCATATCATCTACGTATGAGCTGTACTGCAGGGTGGGGTGCCGGGTCCCCCCGCCCGGCTGGGCTCCCCCAGCATAGCGGGGAGATGGCCAGGGCCGTGGCCAGAGGGGCAGGCCAGCCCTGGGTGTGCTCCCAGGCCCCTGCGCTGGGCCACATCTGTGGTTTGGGGAACCAGCTGCCAATGACCCGTGTGTTGATCAGAGGCCCATGTGCTGGGTTGGTTCTCAGGAAGCCTGACCTCAAAAAGCCACCACTGGCCACAGCTAGAAGGCCAAAGGGACCCCCGTGGTGAATGTGCACCATAATCCTGCCCACACCCCCTCGGCCCGTCCCTGGCAGCCCTCTGCCCGTCACTCACTGAGCAGGGCTTGGGCACCAGGATGCCTGTATGCACCTCAGCATGCCCCCCTCTTGGGTCCTAGGGGAAGGGGAGAGGGCTGCTGCCCGCCTCAGCCAGGCTGTGGGGACCCCCGGTGCCTGGCCAGGGTTCACAGCCTCTGTGTCTCCAGATAGACCAGCCCACCTTGGGCATGCCGTCCCGAGAGTACTATTTCAACAAGGGCAGCAACCGGAAGGTGAGTGGGCAGAGCCCGTGCCCCGGGCCCTGTCCTGCCTGCCCCCTGCTCTGGGCCCCTCCTCCCATCACTCCAGGGCCCACTGGAGCCGAGCCCCCCTGTGTGTCTGCTTGGCCCTGGCCCCCACAGCTAGCCTTTGTCATACCTGTATGAGTGGAGCCTGGCGCTGAAGGCTGAGGACGAGCTTTGTCACCATCACAGGGAGTGTGGGGGTGGAGGGGGAGCTGGGAAGGAAGAGAGGGAGGCGTGACGTGACCCACAGGCTGGTGGGGAGCAGCAGGTGGGCCTCCTGGCCGAGGCCCTGGGGGATGGGTGCAGCCAGGAGAAAAGGCGAGGTTGAGGCCATGGGGCTGGGGTAGCAGGACCAAGGGACCCCACTCAGAGCAGCCGGGCTGGGCCGTCGGGAAAGGCTCTCGCCCGGCAGCCGTGGATCAGGCCAGGCAGCTGCTGTGGCCGCTGTGGCTCCTGCTGCAACGAGGAGTCCCCGCCACGGGCCAGGATGGCAGTGGGCCCAGGCAGGGCACACGTCACGTCCTCAGGGCCAAGTCCTGATTCCTGGGCTGAGGCCAGCCTGGCTAGGGCAGCCCACCCTTAATTTAACCCCGGCACCTGACGGCCCCGGGGCCCTGGGGACCTGAGGACCTGAGGACCGGACCTCGGCCAGCACCTGTGTGCGGCCATGCCATCCAGCAGAACAGGCCTCCCAGTCCTGCAGAAGCTCAAGTGCATGGGGTCATCCGCTGGAAGGGCTGAAGTGGGGTTGTCAGGCCTGAGCTGTGTGGGCATGGCCTTGGCACGGGGCCCCAGCATGGGTCTGGGAACCAGGCACAGTCCACCCATGGGCCGGCTTGCCAGGGAGTGTGAGTGACAGCTAAGGGCCTGGCCTGGGAGGGCGTGGCAGTCTGACATGCCCCTCCCCGTGCCCCAAGGGGACAGCCAACATCTGCTGGCCCAGGTTGGCCTATGAGCATCCTGGAGGCCTGCTCTGTCCTACACCCGCCCCACCCCCACAGAGAGCTCCACGTGGGCCGAGGTTGCCCAGGCCACCCAACTCCGTCCTGCGTCCTTCGGCCCAGGTGCGGGAAGCCTACCTGCAGTACATGGTATCAGTGGCCACGATGCTGCGGGCGGACATGAACCTGTCCGAGAACAGCTACCTGGTGTGGAAGGACATGGCACAGGTGCTGCAGCTGGAGACACAGCTAGCAAATGTGAGTCTGGGCCCACAGGCAGAGCGGGGGGCCGGGCCCTGGCCACCCACCTTGTGACCGCGTGCCCCCCCTTTCCACACCCCCACCCCCGCCCTGGTGCAGGCCACGGTCCCCCAGGAGGAGAGGCACGATGTCACCGCCCTGTACCACAGGATGGAGGTAGCAGAGCTCCAGGATAAGTTTCACCTGAAGGTAAGGCCAGGCACCCCTGTGGTGCCAGGCGTTGGCGGAAGGAGGCCGTCCAGGGGGCACGCGCAGGCCCTAGCACACCCCATATTTCCTGCCTCTCTCATTTAAGCCTCAGAAATACACCCACTCCTGAGCAGGGGTGCCTGTAACTGGTCACCCAAACGGACACTTTCACACCAGACAGCAGATGTCAACTGGGTTATCTGGCAACAGGGGGCGGCCACTCCATCTGTGAGGGGGCTGCGGTGACAACCCCTTTTCTGAACAGGAAACAGGCTGGAAGGAGTTGCTGACTCAACTGAGTCTGGGAGACCCACCCAGGGCTCAGGTCCTGCTCAGAACCCCAGCACGGCTGGGCTCACCATTCTGCCTACCCCTGACTGAAGAGCACCCCCCACGCCCAGACCCTGGGGCCCTCCCCTGCCCTGCCCAGACCTTATGCACAAGGTGGGGGCTGAGCCCTGAGGGGCCGGCCTTCTATAGGGGCCTCCTCTTGCAAAAGGAGGGGCAGGAAGGTGGAAAGGTGGGTCTTGCACCACCAACTGTGGCCACAACAGAGGGTGGATGGCATGGGTGGGGACAGACTCAAGGTCAGACGGAGGAAGGCAGGTTAAAAATAATCCAACATATCGACTTAGCGAAGACGAACCCACCTTGTCTTCATGGCTAGTGTTCTTCGTGTTCCGTGTGAGAAGGCGTTGCCTGCCTCAAGGTCGCCAGGTCTTAGATCGGCCTCGAGTTTATTTTTTTTATTTTTATTTTTTTATTTTTTTATTTTTAGCTGAGCCATCCTGCTACCTGTTGGCAGCTCAGCGGCTGCTCAGCTCGGGCTGGACTCGAACCGCTGTTGCTCAGAGCTCAAACTCTCGAGTTTATTTTTTTTAAGGAGCAATGTAGGAATCATTTCCTTTCTTCCCACCGATGTCCGGGTGACCCAGCATTATTTCTTGAAAAGACTCCCCCTCTACGCTGCTCGGCAGGTCACCTCTGTTTAAAAATCACCTCTGTGTGTGTCGTGTGGTGTGTCTCCACGTGTGTGTGTGTGTGTGTGTGTGTGCGCGCGCACCTTGCTGCAGCTTTAGGATAAGTCTCGCTAGCCACAGAGTAATCTACCAAGTTGGTCCTTCCAGGTCATCGTGATTCCTCGTCTTTTGCATTTTCTCACAGAACTCAGACAGGTTGCCAGTGCCACCCAGAAACCTGCCGCCGAGATGCTGACAGGCATGGCTTGGAATCTGGTATCAGTGTGCGGAAGAGCAGCGTCTTCCGTGTTGAGCCTTCCAATCCATGAAATATATGCGTGCACATATTTACGTTTTCTTTCCTTTCTCTCAATGAGGTGTATAGTTTTCTATTTCAAGGCGTTACACATCTTTCATTCGATTTATTCCCAGTTTTTTTTATATATTATTGTAAATGGTGTTTTGTACTTTATCTTCCTCTTGGTTGCTAGTACACGGAAATACTGACCTTGGATACAGCAGTTTTACTCGATGCACATATTAGTTCTAACACTTTGTAGGTCCTTTCAGATTTTATGAATACAAAACCATGTCCTTTGTGAAAAGGAAGTTTTATTTCCTCCCTTGCAAGCCTTCCTGACCTTATTTCGTTACTTGTCTTAGGAAGTTCAGCCTAGTGCTTCCTCCTGATCTCAGGAGAAAAGCTTGTGTGTACTTTTGCTGCTGCTGCCGTGTAGACGCCCTGTATCAGATTATGAAATTTATCTTCTATTTCTAATCCAATAAGAGTTGCTACCATGAATAGACGGCAACTTATGTTAAATGACTTTCTGTATCTAATGAAATTGTCATGTGATTTCCTTCCTTTATTCAGTTATCATAAAAGATTTTCCTCCTTTATTCAGATTATATTGATTTGATTTTTCTTTTTCCTCTTTTTTTTTTAAGATATTTTTATTGGGGAATTGGGGAAGGAACAGTGTTGGGGAATTAGGGAAGGGGAACAGCCAAGTTGTTGTCCTTCAGTCTTAGTTGTGGAGGGCGCAGCTAGCTCAGCTCCAAGTCCGGTCGTCATCCGGCCGCCTGTCGGCAGCTTGCAGCCGCTCAACTCAAGATGCCTAGTTAAGTCTTAGTTGCGGGTGGGCATAGCCCACCATCCCATGTGGGAGTTGAACCAGCAACCTTGTTGTTAGGAGCATGTGCTCTCACCAGCTGAGCCATCCTGCCACCTGTTGTCAGCTCAGTTCGGGTGCAGCTCACTGGCCCATGTGGGAATCGAACTGGCGACCCTGTTGCTCAGAGCTCACGCTCTTAACCAAATGAGCCACTCGGCTGGCCCTTATTTGATTTTTCAAATGATACATCAAACTTGAATAAATCTAATTTGGTGATGATGTATACCTATCCATACGTATGGATGAATTCTAGTTGCTAATATTTTGCTTAAATGTTTGTTATCTAGGATCATGAGACTTGCCTAGTACGTTCTTCTCTTGTAATATCCTAACTTTGATATTAAAGTTATTCTTGGCCCCATAACTCAAGTTAAGAAGAGTTTTCCTTTTTTCTCTTCTCTGGCAAGTTTGAGTAAGATTGGCAATATGTCTTCTTTGAATGTCAGATACTACTCACTGGAAAGCCAGATGTATCTAGGTATTTCTATGTAAGAATATTTCAAATTAAAGGTCCAGTTTATTACGTATAAGACTATATTTTCTACTTCTTCTTTAATCATTTTTGATAAGTTGTGTTTTTCCAGGAATCTTTCCAGTACATTTAAGTTTTGAAATGTATTGGCCTAATCGCTTATCTTTTCATAGGCTGTGGGCTCTGTAGTAATGTCACCCACCTTTTCCCTGATTCTTATTATTGGGGCCTGATTTCTTAAATATTCTTTGGTGGGGGCTGGGTTTCTTGGATGCCCAGGCGCGTTCTCTCTCTCTCTCTCTCTCTCTCTCTCTCTCTCTCTCTCTCTCTCTCTCACACACTCACACACACACACACACACACACACATATTCCCTCTTTCCCCAGGGGTTTAACTGGACGCTCTTCATACAATCCGTGCTATCTTCTGTGAACATCGAGCTGCTGCCAGATGAAGAAGTGGTGGTTTACGGCATCCCCTATCTCCAGAATCTTGAAGACATCATCGATGCCTACTCAGCCAGGTGAGGCCCAGGGAAGGTCCCAGGAAGCCTCAACGTCTTTGCCCCTGCTGCAGCCGCCCCAGCAGCTCCTCCTCTCAAGAGAGGGCCCCACAGAGCGCTGACTCTGAGGCGTGAGGACATGGAGAAATAAGTATTACTGGCCAGTGGAGCCTTCCATTGGAGACGTGAGCCCCTCCTGAGGCACTGCGAGCATCCTGGGGCAGACAGGCTGTGTGGGGGGCTGTCGTGGAGGTTTGCTCCAGCACCCTAATCCCCCTGCTTGGAGCAGCACCTGCTGGCCTGGGCCCCAGAGCCACATCCCCTCCCCGGGCCAGTACCCTCCCTCTGCTCCCGCCCACAGGACCATGCAGAACTATCTGGTCTGGCGCCTGGTGCTGGATCGTATCAGCAGCCTGAGCCAGCGGTTCAAGGACACACGAGCAAACTACCGCAAGGTGCGTGAGACCCCGCAGAGGCGGCCCCCACTCCCTCGTGCACGCGGTTCATGGTACTGAGCACAGCTGTGGGCCAGCACTGCGGCCACGGGGTCGAGCCACGGATGAGGCTGGCGGACAACAGGCTGTCAACAAACCAGAGATTCGCTCTTTCAGAACCAACCAGTATGACATGAGGGCAGGGTAAGGGCAGGGGTGAAGGCAGGGACGACCTTTCTGAGGAGGTGACACCGGAGACCTTAAGGAAAATGTGACGAGGGATGAGGAGACTGGGGCAGATTCCCAGGCAGCAGAAACAACCAGCACTGAGGTCTCACAGCTGGGTGCCCCGGGCCAGCTCGACAAGGAGACAGGTCAGGTAGGGGGCAGGGGCTGGCACCAGGGCCCAAGCAGAGGGCGGACCCACATGCATGGAAGCCGCCGGGTGCTAAGAGCGGGAACCACAGTCTGAGGTGCTGCTTGTGTGGTCACGCTGGCTGCTGGGGGCACAGAGTGGAGGCAGGGGACCTGGTGGCAGGCCCTGTGATCATGGTGGCTGTTCTGGGAGGCTGGCCTGTGGGCTGTGGCACTGGAATGGAAGCAGAGTGGAGGCTGGTGCCATCATCCAGGGGGGCAAAAGTCTGGACCAGGGCGTGGGCGGTACATGGCTTCAGGAAAGGTCTGAGATGCTGCTGACAGATGGGTGAGGCATTTATACCCGATACGGGGGACAAGGCACAGGCATCAGGAGAACTCCGAGGTTCTCTGCACACAAACAGGCTGGGCGGAGGCCTCCCACTGGGACAGGGAACCAGGCAGAGCAGGTTGGGGCAAGTCTGGGTTCCTGCACATTGGGCTGGAGACATGTACCAGCCAAGCACTGGGAGGGAGCTGAGTCCCAGAGCTCTGGGGAGAGAAAAAAGGGTCGTGCTGACTTCTTAGCAGGCAGGAAACCTGCAGCTCAGGAAGGTGTAGCCGATGCTGGGCAGAGCTCTGGGCTGGCCAAAATTTGGGGCCAGGAATCTGATGGGAACATATTTTCATCTTGTGCCCTTGTACTCCCAGGGACAGATCGGCAGATGTTTTCATTGTCACTTGGGTGATGAGAGAAAACCAGCCCAGAGAGCCAGTGGCCAAGCTGGATGTGGTCTCCAGGGCCACTCTGAAATTAGTGCACCCTGTGTTTTGGGATAGGGCTGGAGTCTTAGAGGTCAAACTCTGGCCAGATAGCCAGGCCAGGGTGGCAAGGATAGGGGACAGACGAGGAAAACTATGAGATTGGGTGAGTCCCCTATCACCCCCAGGGTGAAGGCCCAACTCCCTGCCTGGGTCAGGACCCCACCTCAAAACTGCACACTCCTTGGGCCAGCTGAGTGGCTCAGTTGGTTAAGAGTTGGCTTAAGAGCGTGAGCTCTGAGCAACAGGGACACCAGTTCAATTCCCACATGGGCCAGTGACACTGTGCCCAAGATGAGCTGCTGCTGAGCTGCCAAAAGGTGGCAGGATGGCTCAGCTGGTGAGAGCACATGCTCCTAACAACAAGGCTGCCTGTTCGATGGTGGGCTATGCCCACCGGCAACTAAGACTGAACTTGGCACCTTGAGCTGAGCTGCCGCCCGGATGGCTCAGTGGATAGAGCGTGCGCACTTAACAACAGGGCTGCTGGTTTGACTCCTGCATGGGATGGTGGCTACGCCCACCTGCAACTAAGATTGAACACAGCACCTTGAGCTTAGAGGCCACGAGCTGTGGATGGGCAGCCAGATGGCGACTGGTGCCCTCCACATATGAGAGTGAAGAACAACTTGGCTGGTCCCCATTCCTAATTCCCAAATACTGTTCCCCTCCCCCCAATTCCCCAATTACAAACAAAAAAAAAACAAAAAAACCTGCACACTCTGTCTTTCCCATGCCCATGCCCAGCATTTGAAGGCGCATTTCCGAGCTCATGCCATGTCCCCTGCCAGCCCCTGGGCAGCCTGAGGCCGAGGCCAGGGAAGTAGGCGTTGGTGGGCGTGTTGGTGGGTGTGATGGAACGAATGGATGAATGAGCGAGTAAATGTCCCCCAGGCGCTGTACGGCACCGCCGTGGAGGAAGTGCGCTGGCGAGAGTGTGTCAGCTACGTCAACAGCAACATGGAGAGCGCTGTGGGCTCCCTGTACGTCAAGGAGGCCTTCCCTGGAGACAGCAAGACTGTGGTGGGTGCTCGCTGGGCACTCTGAGGTGGCCTGGGGAGCCTGCAGGGTGTGACACGCCCAGGTGGGGGTGTGGGGGGGCACAGGTCGAATCACTACCACCTGGCACTGTGACTTCAGGCTCCCGGAGGGGTCCCTGCTCGCCCCCCAGCAGCACGTGTGCACTCAGTGGTATAGGGGTGGGGTGGGGGTGGGTCGCTCATGTTTGCCCTGCGCCCCATCATAAGGGAGGCCAAGGGAAGCCCTGCCTGCCCAGGGCCTCTGGCTCCCAGCCAGGCATCGGCCCCCTACCCCTGACTCTGCAGGCTGCCTGGGAAAGGGTACATGTGTGAGTCCTGGGGTGGGAGGCCCCCCTAAGACAGAGCAGCAGCAGGAAGGACCCTGTCCCAGGGGGGTCATTTCCCCAACCCCGCCCGGAGCAGCCCACAGCAGGGGGCTGTGCTTTGGACCAGAAACCCCAGTGCTGGTCACCCAGGCACAAGGGCCATGTGCTCCCCCAGGTCAGAGAGCTCATTGACAAGGTACGGGCAGTGTTTGTGGAGTCCCTGGAAGAGCTGAGCTGGATGGACACAGCATCCAAGAAGAAAGCCCAGGAGAAGGTGGGTGGGCACTGGAGTGCCGAGGTCAGGGCCTCCACCAGGAGCGGGCAGCCCGGGGGTGATCACCATCACACCCACCATAGAGGGAGGACAGTGAGGCAGGAGGTGGCGGGGTCCGGACGGCACTGTGGGTAGAGGCAGGACTGGAAGCTAAGCCTAGTAGACCCCCCGGCACCCTGGGAATGGGTGGGGCGGCCATGGCCTCAGGGAGCAGGGCACTCAGCAGTGAGGCCAGGACCTACCAGGAGCCCCTCTAGGCCAGTGTGACTAACAGAAGCCAAGGAACTCCGCCCGCCCGCCCCTCACCCCACCAGGCCTCAGGCTGCCTGTCAGGTACAAAGGTTGGCCTAGGGCCCAGTCCTTCCACATTCTGTACCCATTAAACCCCTCCAGTCTGCAGGAGGTCCGAGTCCCTTAGTCCCTTACCCACATGGTGGAGGGCAGAGCCAAGATGCCCACAGTGGGGCAGCCCTCTCCCGGCCCCCTCTCCTCCCCAGGCCATGAGCATCCGGGAGCAGATTGGGTACCCTGACTATATCTTGGAGGAGAGGAATAAACACCTGGACGAGGAATATTCCAGTGTGAGCCCCTCCCCCAGCCAAAAAGCCCTGGAGCGCCCCACCTGTCACCTCCCCCAACCCCATCTGCCCCTGAACCCAGTCCCTGTGGACCGTGGGCCCTTGGTTACCTGGGGATGGGGGTGCTCTGTCACTAATTTGCCTATGTCACCATGTGCTGGGGAGGCTCTAGCATTGTCCTCTGTTACAGATGGGGAAACTGAGGCCAGGGGGTGAAGGAACAGGCTCAGTCACATAAACGTGCAGAGCCAGGTTTGACCACCCCCCCGCTCCAGTCTCTCTGCACCCAGAGCCACCCAGTTATCCACGGCCAGGCTGCCCAGCGAGGCCAGCGCCATCTTCCCTTGACCTCCCCCCTCCCGAGCCCCTTGAAGATGCCGCCCCACACGCCTGGCGGTGACAGCCCTCTCCTGTAGCTGAACTTCTCGGAGAGCTTGTACTTTGAGAATGGCCTGCAGAACCTCAAGGCAGGTGCCCAGCGGAGCCTCAAAAAGCTGCGGGAAAAGGTGGACCAGAACCTGTGAGTGGGGACGGCACGTGGGGGCCAGCTGGGGAGGGCAGCCGGGTCTTACTCAGAGCCCCCACCCCGCCACTTGCAGCGGGTATTCAGGCAGGAGCCAAATATCTGGACTGGCCCAGACCCTGCCCTGGCTGTCGGCAACACTGGTTCCTTGTTGTGGTCACTGCGGCCGCTGTGGCATGGACCTTCGGGGTGGGCTTTGGTCAGCCAGGTAGGGAGCCCAGAGGGAGGGTCCCAAAGATACGGGCTACAGATGACCAACTTGTTTATCCCAGCTGGATCATTGGGGCCGCCGTGGTCAACGCATTCTACTCCCCAAACCGGAACCAGATCGGTATGTCCACCCCCACCCCTCCAGTGCCAAAGATGAGCCTGCCCCCACCCTTCCTCCTGGGGGCACCTCCAGCCTGTTGTTGGAAGGGGCGAAGGTACCACCTCTTCACGCCCTCATCTCACCTTCGGGGAAGTCTCCCTCCTGTGTCTGTGATCAGGGCAGGGAGGGTTTGGGGGTGGGGGCAGCAAAGACCCTTTTCCCCCAGAAGGCAGCACAGAAAGGTGGAGAGAGCCTGGATCTGCCACACCCGACCCCTGCCCCCAGGCTCGGAGCCTCAGTTTTCTCATCTGTGACATGGGGGTGTGTCGTGACCTCTGCCTCCCGGGCTGTGGGATGAAATGGCAGGACCCCTAAGGTCCCGGCAGGCAGGGGGTGTGCCCACTCACAGCTCATTCTCTGTCCCCTCACGCCCGCCCCGGGGCAGTGTTCCCCGCTGGGATCCTCCAGCCCCCGTTCTTCAGCAAGGAGCAGCCACAGGCCCTGAACTTCGGGGGCATCGGGATGGTGATCGGGCATGAGATCACCCACGGCTTTGACGACAACGGTAGGAGGCCGCTGGGGGGTCAGAACTGCACCTCCAAGTCAGGTACCTTCTGCATTGAGCAGCAGCCCTGAAAGGGGACTGAGAGCCAAGTCAGGCCACCAGGAAGGGGCCGTGGGGCTGTCCATCCAACCTCTTTGTGATTGAGGTGGGGACACGGAGGCCCTGTGCATGGAAAGGACTTGCCAGGTCCCCAAAGGAGCTGCGGTGGCGAGCAATGCTGGTCGGTGCTCCGGCTCCGGGCAGAGGGATGGAGAAGGGGGCGCAAGGGCTCGAGCACCTGAACCTCACTCCACCTCATTAACTGGCCACTCCCCTCCCTGGGCCTGTGAAATGGGGACAGCAACACTGTTGGTGCACCTGTGAACTTCCGTGTCCTGGCCTGACACGGGAGCCCAGCTCTGTACCATTCCAGGTCAGCCAGCAGCCTCCCGCCAAGGGCTGCACTGACCGGGCCGTCCTGCCTGGTTCTAGTGGCCTGTGACCAGGCACAGGGGCTCAAGCTGCAGCCCAGGGAGGCGGGTTCTCCCATAAAGCTTGACCATGGGCAGCCCCATGTCCCCAGGAACCACACCCACCCTCACTCAGGGTTTAAAGCGGCTGGACATCAGGAAGTGTTACTGAACCACAGTGCCCCTGGGACCTGAGACCCCAGGCCCTAGCCTCAGGGATGGCATGGAAGATCGTCTAAGCCCGCACTCTCCTGGGGCCTGAGGCGTTGTCTGTGACAACATGACAACCCCTGTGAGCAGGGCCCATTCTCTGCTAACAAACATGAGCGGCAGACACTGGGGCTCCTGCAGGACGTGGGGCGCTGGGCAGGCAGGACCACTCAGACAGCCCACCTCTGCCCCGCCCTCAGGCCGGAACTTCGACAAGGACGGCAACATGCTGGATTGGTGGAGTAACTTCTCGGCCCAGCACTTCCGGAAGCAGTCGGAGTGCATGGTCTACCAGTACGCCAACTACTCCTGGGACCTGGCAGACGGGCAAAATGTGAGCAAGCCATCAGCAGTACAGCCACATACCCCCCACCCAGGGGACCATGCCCCAGCCTGGGGGTTGGGGGGCCGCAGGGGGGGCTGCCCGACTATGTTGTCTCCTGTGTGCAGGTGAATGGGTTCAGCACCCTTGGGGAGAACATCGCTGACAATGGAGGGGTGCGGCAGGCGTACAAGGTGGGTCAAGCAGGTGGGGTGGGAGCCTCAGCATGGCAGCGACTGCCCTCCCACCCCCCAGCCACGGCACATCCTGGGACATCTCACCACCTGCACTGGAAGGCTGGGCGCGGTGGCTGCTTTGCCCACATTTTGTCCCAACCTTAGCTGAGGCTTCCACACCTAGGGAGGCCACTGCCCATCTCCAAGTAGGGCAGTGGAGTCACCACAGCCTCAGGCACTGGGAATCAGAAGCCCATTCTAGGCGGGCGCCATGTGGGGGGCTGCCTGGGAAGAGAGCCCAGCCAGTGTGGGGGTTAGATGGCCGTTGAGTAAGGTGGCGAGCACCCTCCCTGGGGTGCGCAAAGGGCCCTGAGCTCCCGAGGCAGGACCCCACCAGGGGTCGGCCTTGGCGCCAGACCTCCGTCTGCCAGGGCAGTGCTGTCCCGGGAGGGCAGGCACAGGCCCAGCACCGCTTGGTGCGCGCAGGCTTACCGGAAGTGGGTAGCAGAAGGCGGCAAGAACCAGCAGCTGCCAGGACTGAAGATGACCTACGACCAGCTGTTCTTCATCAACTATGCCCAGGTAGGAGCCATGAGGCCCCTTCCCACCAGCCTGATCCCCGCTCACACCTTTGGAGGGCCCCCACTGTGGGGTGTCTCCGGGGACACCGTGGTCCAACAAACCAGACAGAATCAGAAACCACCTGTCTGGGCAGCTGCCTGCGGGCTTCCCTCCCCCACCCAAGAAGGAGCAGCCTCAGGCTGGCGGGACTCCTCCTGCCTAGAGAGAAATGAGCCCACACTCTCCTGACCCGCCCTGCTGGCCGCCCCCTCCACCCCCAGCCCCCTTGATCCGCTCAGGTCCCCCTAATTCCTCGCCCCTCCCCAAGACCCGCACCCCTCTCCCCAGGCGCTCCCTTCCCAAGTCCCGCAGCCACGCCCCTCGTGTGCCCACAGGTGTGGTGCGGGTCTTATCGGCCAGAGTTCGCGGTCCAGTCCATCAAGACTGACGTCCACAGTCCCCTGAAGTACAGGCAAGTGGCCTCTGCGCCCCCGCGTCCCCCGCCCTGGCCGGCGCCTTCTCAGGCTCCTCCTTCCGCCCGCAGGGTGCTGGGCTCCCTGCAGAACTTGGCCGCCTTCGCAAACGCGTTCCACTGCGCTCGGGGCACCCCCATGCACCCACAGGTGCGATGCCGCGTCTGGTAGCCTAGGCCGAGCCGCGCTGTGCGGCCCACGCCCACCCGCGTCCAGAGGCGTCCGCGAAGACAGTGCAGCTGGCGGGGAACAGCGTTCGCCCCGCGCCGGTTCCGCGCCGCGTCCGGCTTCCGCGATCGGCCTGGAACGCAGCCGCCGCCCCCGGGCGCCCGGGGGTGAGCGTAGCCCGGCCCGGAGCCCCCTCCGCGTCTGCCCGCGAGGGTCCACGCCACCCCGCCGAAGCCCTGTAGACACGTTTAACTGTCATCCGCCCACTCCAAAGCGCGTCTTTGTGAGATGGCCATGAGCTTCCAGTCGAGCTAAGTAAACGCTGCGAACAAGTCGGCTGCCTTGTCTGTCTAGGAGGCTGGGGGCACCGATCGGCAGTGCCCGCCCGGAACGTGAGCGCCAGCTCTGTCCACCCACTGCATCTAGCTTTGCCGCTGACAACGGCTGGCCTTGGGCAAGACGGCGGCCATGTGGGAAAACAGCAGGGCGTTCTGGGGACGGAGGGGCTTTCCCGACAAGCCGTCCCTCCAGGGTCAAGATGCCCCCGAGTACCGGCCCTCTGGGACCACGCATTCAGACGGGGCAGGGGCTACTGACGGGAAGGGGCTGAGGTCAGAGGCGGATGGAGGGACCCAGGGGTCAAAGCACAGGATCTGGACTTGGGGTTTTATGGCATTGGAAGCCAGTGGAGAGGTGAAGCCACAAGGGGCCACTGTCACCCGCCCTGAGCTTTTAAATGACCACTGGGAAGGAGGCGGACTGCATCCAGGAGGGAGGTGGAGGTAAGCAGGAAGGCCAGCTAAGAGGCCGCTGTGGTAACCCAGGCCCCAGTCAGAGGGGTACCAGGGCGGTACTGAGACGGTCATCTGAGCCCACTCAGACCAGAGAGTGCCGGAGAGGAGGTGCGGGGAGCAGCTCAGCTCTGGACACGTTAAGTTCCAGGTGCTTGGTTGGGGGGAGGTGAACATACCAGCCAAGTCAGCCCCCCAGCGCCCCCATCAGGGGGCAAAAGGCGATTCTCACATCAGTGAAGGTCCTTCGGGCAGACCAGCGCTTCCCCTCAGTCTCTGATGTCCTCCCAACTCCAGTGGTCCATGGAGTCCATTTCCTCCCTGGAAACCCATGTAGCTCACATCAGCCACAGGGCAGGGCTCCGGTCCAGGACCTGGGGAGCCTCCCGACCCCTGGGCCTGCCCCTGACCAAAGGCCTGAGGTCTCTAGGGCGGCTGCCCCACTGGCCCTGAGGACGCAGGCTCTCAGGGGTGAAGAAAACACTGCCCGGAAACAGAGACGGCAGTTTAATGCTCAGTGCCGTCCGCTGACCATGCAGAGTGCGGCATCCAGGCCGGAAGGTTCAGGACAATTCTTCACATCCTGCTGGCAGCACGCCGGGCGCAGCAGACGCCTCCCAGATCCTCAGAAGCCAGGGGCCTTCACCTCGAGCACGCCTCGTCGTCACACTGTGAAGCAGCAGACGCCCCATCAGGCCAGCCACTCCCCAGGGCCAAGAGCACCTGGGCCCACCCACCTGCAGCCTGTGGCCCGAGTAGGGGCAGGAACGTGCTGGACACTCTTCTCCATTTGGGACACAGGAGGTCGGCAAACAGGACCCCCTAATGCCAGCCAGTCACCTCGGACAAACCCAGCCCTCCCAAGACTGAGAGGACGGGTAGACAGGCCTGCAGGCTGGGCAGTCATTGCCCTCTCGGGGGAAGGGGGGCCTCCTGTGCCTGCCATCCAGCCACCCTGCCCCTGCCCTCACTGGTCTCAGCCTGCTTCTCCTCTGCAAAGTGTGGTGACACTGACATCCTGGGGTGACCTAAAGCCTATCGGATCCAGCTCAGCCCCTGATCATGCCAAGCAGTCGACCCAGGGGAGTTGGGTGTGAGGGGGGCATGGTGTTCTTAGCTGGCAGTGGCTGCCCAGGTCGGAACTCACCTGGGGTGGCTTGCTGGCACTGACCTCCGCAGAGATGCCCAGGGCCTTCAAGATGCTCTCCTGGGGAACATAGTCACCTGGGGACTTCTGGATGAAGTGTAGCAGCACTTTGTCACCACCTGCATCAGTGGGGGTGGTCAGGGTACCCCCGTGTGCCAGGAGGAGGGACGCAGCCTACCCAGCTTACTGACATGAGTGAGCTGCTCTGCCATACCCCACCCAGCGCAGCCCTCACTTGGAGCCAGGCTGACAAGCTGGAGGGAGGAAGGAAGGGAGGGGCAGGGCACGGGCATCAAGCTCAAGACCTTCGCCCCAGAGGACGTGGCCCTGGCACCCCATGTGACCACGCATTGGCCCCTGACGTCCCTCAGCCCCCAGCCCACCTTTGGTAACCACCAGAAGCCCTCCACTCTGCAGCAGGTCCCCGGACAGGTTCCCCTGGATGCCGACAGCCTTGGCCTGGAGGGAGGGAGGCCCAGGTGAGCCCTAGAGAGAAGCCCTCAGGAGGCTCCAGCCACGCCTAGTCCCACAGGACCTTTACCGGCACAAACCTTGGTGGCCACATCACGCACGGGCTTCCCCAGGGCAGCTGGCAGGATGCTCAAGCTGTTGTACCTGCGAAGACACAGCTGGCTTGTGCAGGCTCTGACTCAGGTGAACACTGAGCCCCAGCGCCTGCCTCCAGTCTCCACGGGATGCACAGACCGGTTCCCACAAGCAGACCCTACCCCATCTCAACAGGCACCAGAGGGGGCAGAGCAGCCAGGCCAGCAACCAGCTGGGCTCACAGAAGCACCTGCCCAGCCAGCTGCAGTTGCTGGAGCCCTGGGGCACCCAGCTAGGGGCTGAGGAGCTGGGGTCCTGCAGAGGGTGCTGGGAGCATGGACAGGGCTTACACAGCTTGGGGATCTGGCTTAGCTGACACCACCAATCAGGAGAGGCAGCCAGCCTGTGTGTGGCACAGGCACCCGAGGTGGCTGGGGTGGCACAACTGACTCCAGGCGCCCAGCCCCTTCTGCAGCCTAGGAGTGGGGTGGGGTGGGGGGGTAGCTCTTCGGTGAGAAGACTGACCCACAGCCCATGGACAGGCTTCACCCTAGACAGCCGGCAGAAAGGCTGGCCAGAGCAGCGGATGCCCCCGGCCCACCTGCCCAGGACAAGGAAGCATCAGCAGTGGGCCCTGTGCCCCTCTCACCGCTTGAAGCCCAGCTCCTTGTAGAACTGCTTGCTCTCATCCAGGTAGAGCTCTGGAAAGCAGAGGCCACAGGTATGTGCCCCAGGCCCACCCACCACCCCGGCACCCTCCTGCATCCAACCTTCGGTCCACCCTCGGTTTCCAGCTTGCCCACGGGGCGGGGGCGGGGCAGGGGGGGGGCGCAGAGCAGGGCTGAGTCCCAGAGGGACAGGTGGAGGTGGAGGAGCAGGACTCGCCTGGACTCTGCCACTGGGCTCAGGGCTCTGCCAGGGCACATCCTGGGTGCCCGGGGAGGGGTCCTGGGGGGTAGAGGTGGGGCATCTCAGCCTGGGCTCCTGTCCCAGCTACTCCTGCTGAAGGGGCATCTGGGGAGTTCAGTGTCTCATCCAGAGTGACCAAAGATGGGGGGTGGGGGGTGAAGGGGTGGGGTTGGGGAGAGATTTGCAGCTGACCCAGTAAAGACCGTTGGTCCTGATTCTAGGCCAGAGTCACCACTGGGACGTGCCACACTGTCCGTCCACAGGGAAGGACATCAGGGCAAGGGGGTGTAGATGAGGTCCACAGTTGGAGGAGCAGGAGAACTGAAACAGGAGCAAGGCGCCCCTGGAGAGAGAAGGGGCTGGGCAAGGAGGGATCCCAAAGGCCCTGAGTGTGTGAGGAACGGCGAGGGGCTGAGGGGGCGGCTCTGGGGTGGGGGGAGGCAGAGGAAGCAGGGGCGGGTTTGTAGGCACCTCCAGCGAAGTAGCCCCCGTCCAGAAACTCCTGCAAGCCCAGGGCCTCAGGCCCCACGCCCACCAGGCGCACACCGTGCAGGTCCAGGAGTCCCTTGAGGCTGCTGAGGTCCCGGGCGATCCAGCGACACACCATGCAGCCGAAACGCCGCAGACCAGCCACCACGCACGCCTGCTCCTGCCACAGGCTCCGCAGCTCCACGGCCTGCGCGGGGACGAGTGAGGGGCGCCGCGGGAGCACTGCCGGACCTCCGCGCCGTCCGCGCCCCCAGCCC